TTATAGTTATAAAAATCAACTCAATTCTAGATTTGAATTACAGACGGTAGGACGGGTTAATCTAAAACAATATTATTATTATTATTATTATTATATTAAAAAATCAGATAATTTCTCACCTAGATAGTAGATTAATCAAGTTAAACCAAATCAATTCCTACCTAATTCAGTATAAAATTCAACTAAAGTCTGATTTTGAATTGGTAAGTATCAAATTGATTGGAGTTTAATTATATTGTTATAAATCCCTCAAAAAGAACTTATTATTTTTACATAAATAGGGTAGGAGATGTCATTTTTACAACATGAATATATTTTTGTTTTTAACCAACTAATGGTATGATGTAAACGTTGTCGATAGATTTTTTCTATGATATGTGACTGAAGGACCATCTTAGTAAACAAGGAAAAAAATTAGAAGAGGATAAGAGTAAGAAAAATTAAGAGTTGGAGGAACAAAACCAACTCCAATCCAAAGGATTTTTCTATATAAATCCCTTTCTTTGCAATTGAGTACGAATTCAAACCCCATTTTAACGGAGGAACAAAACCAACTCCAATCCAAAGCTACTCTCTCCCCCTTCCCCTCCCCCTCTCCTTCCTGTGTTCCTCATTCTTTCCCGCTGCCCTTCCGAAGTTCTTCAGCAATGGCATTAAAAGTACTGTATGCCCTTGATGCGGCAAAAATACAGTATTATCACTTCAAAGCCATAATTATTGCTGGCATGGGCCTCTTCACTGATGCCTATGATCTCTTTTGTATCCCTCCAATCATGAAACTTCTTGGCCGTGTATACTACGAGGACAAACCTGATCATGACAAATACCAAATCCCACGAGTTGTTCTTGCTACCATGTTAGGCACAGCCCTGCTGGGTACAGTGATTGGTCAACTGGTCTTTGGTAGACTTGGTGACCGAATGGGAAGGCGCCACGTATACGGTATCTCATTGATTCTCATGGTTTTCAGCTCCATTGGGTGCGGTTTCTCCTTCTGCCGGACCAAAACCTGTGTTCTTGTCAGTTTGGGGATTTTCAGGTTTGTTCTGGGACTTGGGATTGGTGGAGACTACCCTTTGTCGGCTACAATCATGTCTGAATTTGCTAATAAGAAGACACGTGGAGCTTTCATAGCAGCTTTGTTTTCTATGCAAGGGCTTGGGATTCTGGCTAGTTCCATGGTGACTATGGTGGTATCAAAGATTTTTGAGGCTGCTGCTTCCAAGAATTTGTCAAGGAATCATACACCAGAAGACGCTGACATTGTTTGGAGGCTGATTCTGATACTCGGTGCCGTCCCGGCTGGACTCACATATTATTGGCGCATGATGATGCCTGAAACAGCCAGGTACATAATATGTATATATATTTTGATAAATTACAATAATTCTGTTAAACTATCATGAATTCATTAAGATCATTCCAAAATTTTCAGATTCTAAAAGGCCTTTAACGCGTGATTATCAAGAGTATTAATTCAAGCTTGATTATTTCTGTTGGCTAGTATACGTGGAATTGACGAGGAAGGAGAACATAGAATGTAAAGGCAGCCTTCTTAGGTTGACCAAATGGATTATAATGATTTTTCTATTCCTATATATGATGAATTATATGATCCGTTTGTCACCAAATTAATTATTAATCTTTCAAATAATAATCTTGTAAATATTAAACTAAAATATTGTTTCCAATCATACCATGATTAACTTGTTTAATAAATGGAGTAGATAGCTAAACGTACTCAGTTAAGAATTTAGAGCAAATTCATCATGACGTCTCAAAACCCAGTGCTGATGATTCTTTACGATTAATTAAGAAAACCGAGGTAACTTAAACAAGTTGATTTACTTAGTTATTGTATGACTTGCACTCCTTAATGTTCTTACTTCTCGTATCATGACTCAGGTACACAGCTCTGGTGGAGAATAACGTCCTGCAAGCAACCAAGGACATGGAGAAGGTCTTGGATGTTTCAATTAGCCGAATAGCCGAAGATGATCTCATATATCTGCAACAAGATCCACCATCTTATTCCCTACTCTCCAAGCAGTTCTTCCGTCGCCACGGTGTTGATCTCTTCTCCTGTGCCACCACGTGGTTGCTTCTTGACATTGCTTTTTACAGTAGCAGCCTCTTCCAGTCCCAAATTTACAAGATGCATCTTGACTTGAAAGACACCAACGTTTATGAAGAAACTTTCAAGGTTGCTGTCTTCCAAGCCATTGTAGCACTTGTTGCTGCAATTCCAGGGTATTGGTTCACTGTCTATTTCATTGATCGTATTGGTAGAAGAAAAATCCAAATGATGGGATTTCTCTGCATGGGTATAGTTTATTTTGCATTAGGAATCCCATACCAGTACTGGGGCAAACACAAAAATAAAGGCTTCCTATTCCTTTATGGTCTAACTTTCTTCTTTGCAAATTTTGGACCCAACACCACGACTTTTATTGTGCCGGCAGAGCTTTTTCCGGCTAGATTTAGATCAACTTGCCATGGAATTTCTGGGGCATTGGGGAAGGTAGGTGCTTTCTTTGGGACTCTTGGGTTCTTGTGGGCTTCACACAACAATGACCCAGATGATCTTCCAAGAATCGGACCGCTGAGAATTGCTCTAGTAAGTTTGGGTGTGATTTGTCTCTTGGGAATGGCTGTGACATACTTGTTCACGCGAGAAACTAATGGGAGATCGTTAGAGGAGAATGAGAATGAGGACGAAAATACAGAGCTGTGCTTGTTCAGATGTCATATGGATGCTGATCGCCGCCCAAATCCATCTGTTCATCAATAGGTTATTGCTGTGTAAGGAACTAAATATACACAAATCCTGTAAATGCTAGAGCTGGACAAGAAAAAACAGATAGATCACCTACAACTTCTTCTGTTCTTTTCTCTTATTTTCCAGCTAGATTTTGGCTGGTGTATTGATATATGTAGAAACCATTTTGTTGAATTTACACTATTCCTTTTGTATCTGATTACTCCTAGTTCACCCAGATTCATAATTTGATCATGCATCTTCGATGTGGATGGTTTGTGCTTCCATTTGCTACATCATACAAAACTATCCAGCTTATTTTGCCCAGGGTATAATAAATTTGGGTATTTTATGGCTTAGTTGGTTAAGATGTTTAGCTTACTTATTTCCATACAATCTACAATATTAATTAGTGTTCTATAATTTTATATAATTAGTGTTTTACTGCAGTCTCTGTACAAAGTGGATATAAAATGCTAATACGAAGGATACTGTAGATTTATATTTCAGGTTTATAGTTTTTCAATTAAATATATTTATGTTTTTAACCTTTTCTGTTTCTTCTGTTCCGTAATAGTAACAAAATATTTAGTTTATTAGATGGAGGGACAAATAAGGATATAAATCTCACGGTGAAGTGTCGTCTTCCTTTTATCCATCATTTACATCTGGCAGCATTATCAATGATTACCAAGATTAGTCTTCTCTTTTCCTTGAAGGCTCTACCATGGCGTTGAAGGTTTTGAATTTGTTGTTCTATTTTTCAGATGAATTAACCTCAACCTCTCTCTCTCTCTCGTTCTTTGAAAAGCATCATGGTTCACTGATTATTGCTACTTCATTACATTATCCCCTAACTGATGAATAATTTCTGGACATAAATATATTTTGGTGCATGGACTTGTTAGTCAGCTTAACATTTGTGAACGCGAGCACTCAAGCATTACATTTTCATTCCCGTGGCTTGACAATGACCAAAAGAAAGAATTTCTCTCTCAAAGTCCGGGATGGAATTTTCTTGAAGGAATATTCTAATCAATCAAACACAAAAATAATAGCTGAAACAAAGATTTTCTTGCAGGTTGTTGTGATTTTTTTAATATTTTTTAATTTGTTAAAATTACTGTTTAGATTGGACTGCTATTTGTTGATTTCAATCAGGAGTACTAATTTTGGCTTGATTGTTTTTGTTGACTTCCGCATGTAAGATTGACTAGGAAGGAGAACATGGAACACAAGGTGGAAAGCTCACATACTTTCTTCTACCCAATAATTTAGAACAAATTGATCGCTTTTTCCCCTACAAACTCTAAACCCAATGTACAATTAATTAAAAAATTATTTTAATATATTTTTAGATAGAAGACACTGCCTTTATACCCTGAAGGCAGATACTCCTCATTCTCAAATGTAGTATTAATTTACTTTGTTATTCTATGATTTGCACTACTTAATGTTCTTAATTTTCATATCATGAGTCAGGTACACAGCTCTGGTGGAGAATAATGTCCTGCAAGCAGCGGGGACATGGAGACGGTCTTCGATTAGCCAAATGGCCGAAGATGATCTCATATATCTGCAACCAAATCCACCTTCTTATTCCCTACTCTCCAAGCAGTTCTTCCATCGCCTCGGTGTTGATCTCTTCTCCTGTGCCACCACGTGGGTGCTTATTGACATTGCTTTTTTATAGGAGCAGCCTCTTCCAGTCCCCAAATTGATGGGGGGAAATGGGGAAGGTAGGGGCTTTCTTTGGGACCCTAGGATTCTTGTGGGCTACAAAAAACCATGACTGAGGATGATCTTCCAGGAATCGGTGAAATGAGAAAGAAATACTTGTTCACACAAGAATCTAACGGGAGATCATTAGAGGCGACTGTGAATGAGAGCGAGAATACAGAGCTGTGCTTGTTCAGATGTCACATGGATACTGATCGCCACCCAAATACCTCTGTTACTGGCGAGGTTATTGCTCTGTAAGGAACTAAACATACACGTTTCTGTAAATGCTAGAGCTGGACAAGAAAAACCAGATAGATCACCTACAATTTCTTCTGTTCTTTTCTCTGTTTTTGTTAAACTTTCAGAGTGTATTTGTTTTTAAGTTCATGATGCACTTTTGAAATTATTTTTTGTTTCAAATCATTTTTTTTTTATGATTTTAGATCCTTTTTGAAATGTTAATATTAAAAATAAAACATTATTTTAATGCAAAATAAATTTTAATAAATAAAAAAAAAACTTTAAAAAACAATTACAAGCACAATTTCAAGCACTAAGCACTACCATAGTAAAGCTACAAAAACAAAGCGTGCGGCCATGATTGAGTGCACAAATTTACATCCCAACAAGGCAGCAAAAACTGAGAAGCATACGCTCCACAATTACATGGTTGACTTCCTTACCGAACAGCGTAACCAAAAAGCCAGTCGCCCAGCGGTTGGCCCTAGGAAGAATAGTTTGACACAATCATGTTAGATATAGAAAAGACAAGTTCCTGCAACTCAGAAAACAACAGAGACAATTTCAAATAGGCTATGGGAAAATTTGGTTGTGAAAGGAGATAGAAAGGATAGTGTACACAGAAAAGTCAATTTCTATTGTTAACAGACTAGATGGAAAATAATTAACATTAGATTACAATAATAAGCGCTATAACGTGAAAAACAATATGAAATTAATGAAAAAGAAGACAGAGAGAAAACAAAGGCACCATAAAACCTGCACAAAATTTCAAATGTGAAGGTTTGACTAGGAAAAAGAGAAGAAGAAAATCAATTCCACTTGCCCAGTTGTAAAGAAGCGTTTCATGATTAATAAGAATAAAAAGGGAGCGGGTGGGAGTTCGGAAAGCCAAAGTAAACTCAGTATAATATTTGTGGTTCCTCTGTTACACGATCGGTTTCTGCATTTCTTTAAGCATGGAACGCTGTCATATACCAAGAAGCCTCTTGATTAAGTAAAAATTTGAACAGTGCTCAGCAGTCCAATTGAATAAAGCCAAACTATCCAAAGTACATAAATTAATGTGTTTTAAATTTTCACAGATTACTTTGTTATTGGATGTTTAGTTCAATGAGTTCACTCTAACTCTAATGAATGGGAGGATGCGGAACTCATCACTCAAATATGGCCAGGACAATAAATTACCAGAGGACTTGAGAACACACTAGAGATTTGTGGCTATTGCAAACCCCCAATCATTCCAAAATAAATGGCTTCAACAAAAAGTGTGGATAAGTGTGTGACCACGTGCATTTTCATAATATCAACTTACTATTTTGTCATATTCCTCCACTTATCCTTGAGATCAGTGGGAGTTCGAGTTGAATCAAAAACACGATGACCATACTCCAAAATTTTTCTCCATGGAGTATTTTTGTTTCCTGGTATAGCAAATTTCTCCACTCCTTCCTGAAGTCAAAGAATATATGCCAACTACTCAGGCAAATCAATCTTTAACATTTCTCTGCCGATTCAGTCATCCGAAAGCTATAATACTCCTTCAATGACAGCAAATTAAGAGCTATAACAAGATAATATTTGACTTGTGTTTTTTAAGAACAATTAAATATTGAGAGTTGATGAAAAAGAAAACTTTGCAGTGGTATTTTCAAGAATTTGTAATCAATTCACCTAATGAAATGAAAGTGACAAATCTTTAAGCATTTCAGACTTGAAGTCTCCACTATCTCTGGGATGATTTCTTCCACTTAATCATCAATTTATCATGATTCGAAGATCTATCAAATATGTTATTCATTCAATTATGACATTAAACCTTCAAGACAGCACATTTTAATTCAAAGACAAGTTGACTAGTGCAGATTTAACTTCTGGAAAGTACAATGATTCCAGCAATTAAAAAAAAAAAAACAAGGGACAAAGAAAGTTTTAATCACTGACTCCAACATCAACGACCGAAGTTTTAATCACTGACTCCAACATCAATGACATTGGAGCACATTATCCCAAAAAAAAAGAGACCTCGGGGCACTCCATGTCTGACAAACTTAATACCTCAATCCCTTCAACACTTTCTCGACCATTCCCTGAAGGTGTGTTAATTTCTCTTTAGTTACAGCTTCCAACAATTGCATTTTGTATTGCTTAGTTCCCTCAACACGTTATTCATAAATATTTTCTAAATAACAATTTGTACTTTATTTTTCTTTGGACCATCCATCCATAAAAATATGTTGCAAAGATGCAGCGCCAAAATCAGGTATTCTCCTATGGTCACATCTATAGGCAATGCTATTTAAATTCATACCTTTAGTGTGTCTTCCTCATCAGCTGTCCAATTCAACCTTTGACGCTTTTCATTACGAGGATAAAGGTTGGAGCTGCCAGTAGGGGGAGAAAAGGTTGAGTTAAAAAGATCCATTTGTACCATCTTAGCTAAACAAATATGCTATTGAAATGATCAAAATTGAATGGAGATTTTTTTATTCAAATAAAATAAAAACACTCACGATATCTTAGGAGATTCCAGGCGTTGTCTGGGCTCTTTGTAGAGGATAACTTTCTCTTTTTGGATTTTAGCTTCATTTTCATCAATGGTGTGTGGTTGAGGAGGTGCTTCCTTTGAAAGTTTGGCATCCAGAGACTCTGCTATTTTCTTCTTACCAATATGCTTGACACGCCTCCGAAGCACAACAGATTTCCCAGTGTCCGAATCAGAAACATGAGGAACCTTAGGTGCAGCAACTCCTCCGCCAGAATTGGCTTCTCGTGCATCATGGTGCACTTGTTCTTCTCCCACACATTGACCTTGTTCTTTGTTATCACATCCATTCTGATGCTTTTGTTCTTGTTCTTTTTGTTCTTCGTCTTCACATCCATCCTGCTGCATCTGTTTTTTTTCTTTCTCTACATAATGATCCTTTGAAGATTCTGCTCGCTCTCCACCCTCAAGAATTCTGCCATCCTTTTCCCGTTCTTGCTTCCCTTCCTCACCTTCTAAGGTCTCAAACTCATGAGTTTCAGATATATTTCTCTCATCCCTAATTTCATTGCTGATTGAATCCTCAAGTGACTCAATCCCCGGTATTTTCTCCTCTTGACTCTTATGTCCATTGTCACTACCGTTAACAGCACCAGGCAAAGCACCATCCATTTCATCATCAACCATCACTTCACAACGATCACAATCACTTACCTTGAGACCATCCCCACCATCCTCCACCAGCGAATCTCTATTTTCAGCACCATCAAATTCCGCTCTTTCCCCTCCATTTCGCTTCTCTTTACCACCCATAGCCTCACCACCCACCATTTCAGGATCTATAAAACCCAACAACGCCTTCTTTGCCAACATAGCCTTCCGAAAAAGCTCTTTAGCCCTACCAACCTCCCGTTTATAAGAACAGTAAGGGCAACAAAACCTACCCGAGTCATCAAAAGCAAGCTTAAAATTTGCACACTTTTCATGAATAGAAACTGGACAGCCAATCACACAACAAACCAACAATTTCGATTTCCCACGCTTATTACAGCTTAAACATGCATCTACCTCCATCCAATCACCACTGGTACCCACATCATCATCGCTTCTGCTTGATTTTTCACTTAAATTAGCATCGTCTTTATCACTATGAGCTTCATCCTGTGATTTTTTTTTTAAATAATTTAATTAAAACAAGAAAGAATAAAAACATAAAATAAAAGCAGAGAGAAAGAGAGTAAGTACCGGACTCAATTGAGGAAATGGACGTAGAGTGGAGGATGAGGGAGGTCTCTGAGGTGATTTTGAAATGCGCCGGTGCCCGCCGCCGTATTTACTTCTCATTTTTTTCCTCCGGAATTAGGGTTTTTTAGGTGAGTTTTCGAGTGGGCACAGAACTGGTGTTGATTTTGGAGTGTGTGTGACGAGAAACGAAGGGTTTTATTTTTATTTTTTACTCTATATTTTTATTGGTAAATATCAAGTATACCCCCAACTTGCTAGGCCTGCCAATTTTCATAAAAAAAGAAAAAATATATTATATCAAATATTCCACTAAATTATTTTGATTTCGCAATTAATTTTTTTTATATATTTAATAATATGGTTCAAGTGTTTTAATTTTAAAAAATCAAATTAATATTCTTTAAATATTTTGTGATAATTTAAAAATGAATAATGAAAATGATATTAGAGAATGAAATATTTGAAGGAAAAGATTTACTATCCGGAAATTGTTTGATGAAATGCTTAGAAATTTTAAAAATTATAGATGTTTATTATAATTATAAATTATAAATAATAATTTTGTTATTTTGAAGCTTAAGGGGCTCATATTACATTTATTAGCTTAAAAATTAAGAGTTTTTCTTCCATGATAATTTTCAACATCCCTATTATTAATTGCTTGGGATTAAGGATTGAGATTAAGAATGACTTGAGCATTAATGGTAAAATCTGAATGGTAAGGAAGGTATACGGGAGCATCTTAATAAGTTAGAGGCATTTTTATACGCATCCCGTATGATTGATTATATACTAATATACACTTAAATTCAGGTTTTTGCACCCTTCAATTGATTCAGTATTTTGTTCCGTTACAGGTCACTGTTAGTTGCTATGATGGCGGTTGCTGTGGTAGCCGGAGCGGCGGTGATGATTAATTAAGAGCAGCACTGCTAGCTATAGCTGTGCATATTTCATCATCTATAGATCATGGACCTTTCCTCTTCATCTGTAAGCCTGTAAGTTGCTGATATTTGATGCATGTGATCGATCGTCCATGCTGCCATTAATCAAATTTTCTTTTTCTCTAAGATTACAAGAACAAGGCTGTGCCTGTCAGAGTGGGAATTTGGCAGAGCCAGATAGAGATGAAAGGGAGTTTCTTTCTTGTAAATTTCTTCAAACTTCAATGGATAGCCAGCCAATATAAAATGTGAAAAAGACAACAACAACTTGAGTGATTAAACATTTAGAATATCAACCATCTAGGTGGTGGTCAAGTGGTAAAGACTTGGGATCAAGGGGGTTTGCTTCCTCTATGGTCTCAGGTTCAAGTCCTTGGTTGCTCATATGATGGTCACTGGAGGCTTACATGGTCGTTAACTTCAGGGCCCGTGGGATTAGTCGTGGTGCGCGCAAGCTGGCCCGGACACCCACGTTAATCTAAAAAAAAAATGTCAAGAAAAAATACATCCCGAAAGAAAATCATGCAAATTTCAACTGTAAGATTCATAATGCTCAAACCTCAACCCACTCGTAAAAAGTATGATCTGATGTGTCAGAGACTTCTCTCCAGTTCTACATGTGTCCATACCGGTTGTGTAGTAAACTATATAAATGTCCTTTGGCCAGTTATGATTAATGTTATCCCTATTTTCTTATTTTCTAAAACTACATTGCTGTCACATGATCAGAGCATATGATGTCGGGAAACTGGATTGCTGTAGTTGTGCTTTCATTTTGGCAGAAAAAAAAAAAAAAAAAAAAAAAAACATTTAGAATATCAATTTACTACAAGACATCATCCGATGAGATCCAGATTCCAGAAATGGGAATTGAAAGAGGAAGACAAGAGCAGAGACCATTTAGCATGTTACTTCTTTTTAGTGGGATAAGATGCCATTTTGTTGATACCACAAAGCCCTGCAGGCTTGCCAGTGTTTCTCTTCATCCTTATGTAACCCTTTTCTCCCCATTTAGATCCCCAAGAGTTCTTAACGATAATGTAATCCAAGCCATTGGTTGATCCATACCCAACGGCTGCCACTCCATGATCTAGCTGAGTTCCACAATGACCATCAAAAACACCCTGCAACATAAATCAATGGAGTTAGCCTACCATTCAGAATGAAAGATACATGGCCAGTGTGTGTGTGTGTGTGTAGTAAATGTTGACCTACCCCGCTGTAAAACTGGAAGTCTCTGCCAGAAGCCTCAATGGCCACACTGAGGGGCTGGTTGGCAAGTGCCTTCAACAGGCTTTCTTCACTGTTTTGTGGCACATCATGGTATCCACTAATGGTCACTACCTCTGATTCTTCCTGCAAGACCAAAGACATAAATCAAATGGTAATGCTTATTGCTATTCATCATCTCCGGAAAATCAAACTAAAACGAAGACTGTTTGGCCTGGATTAATAATTTGATAGTGAACCATGAAGGAATTAATAATTTTCTCTTGTTAGCTAAATACCTTTCTCATCTCACAGGTGCCCTCTTCCATGATATATGGGTAATCTACCTCCTTGTGGAGTCCACCATTGGAGATTATGTAAGAAAATGCATAATCCATAAGTCCTCCATTGCACCCATAGTTGTTAGTGGTGTCACAATCGACCAACTCTTGCTCGGACAGGGATGTCAAATTTCCTGTAACAATCTGATTTATACCTTCTACTGCTGCTACTGTTGAAAAGGCCCAGCAGCTACCTGCACAAATAAGCATTGACCATGTGACATTTCTCAATTTATTTAACCATGGCTACTTTTGTATGCAAGAATCTGAGACTGAGATAGACACTTACCGCATGACCCCTGGTTCTTGACATCAGTAACAGCTCCTTTCTTTCTCCAATCCACTGACTTTGGGATGCTCATGACATCCTTGTAATTGAACTCCTGAGAAAATTCTCTTCTTTCAGACATGTCAACCTTCAAGCCAAGATACTTGTTTTTGAACTCTTCATGGCTCAAATCGGAAAACTCATTCAATCCAAGCCAGTAGTTAACGACCTTCTTATTGGTCTCATCAATGTGGAACAAGTTATCTTTGAAAATCTCAAACCTGAGCCATTTTTCTTCTATGCTCTCATAAATCTTCCCATGTTTTGATATCCATGACTCAAAGAGATCGATGATCTTATCCCCGGACGTCAAGTCTTCAGGGGTATAGCCCACAATTGAGAAATCACGAGCTAAACCAGAATGGGCGAAGAATGACATGAAAGAAAATTCAAGAAGAAACATCAAAGAAAGTGAGGAGAGAGCCATTTTAGCTGTTAATTGGATAGATGGATACAAAGGGACGGGAGGGCGGTTTATAAGCAGGTGTTGGCTTTCAAGTAAAGTTATTGGATTGTTTATTTTTCTGAATTCTGAGACTTGAAGATTGGTTCTTAATGTTAGATTGCTTTCAATCTAAGCATATGACATGATCATGTATGACATAATAATATAGTAGATTAACATAATATATATATTGGTTCACTGCATCATATAATTCACTTTTGACATCTAATCACTTGAGTTTTGATATTGTAATCCAGAGTATTTTTTAAAAATATTTTTTATTTAAAAATGTATTAAAATAAATTTTTTAATTTACATTAAAATTAAAATTATTGTTTTAATTAACGGTAAACCACTACAAAAACATAAATTTTATGTTTTTATTATGATACATCACAAAAATAAACCAACATTAAATATATTTTAGTCATGTTTACAACTATCAAAACTAATTCTTCTAAGCAATATATAAAACCCCCACATTTATATGATACACCTGAGGAAAATAATGAAAGGAGTTGGGGTAAGGTTATATTTATAAGAAAAAAAAAACTGTAGCATCTCTTTCGAAGGTGAGTTCAGGCAACATTTATAGGCTACCAATAACTTGGACCAGAGTGCACTTTGTTGAAGTATTAAAATGGGCTAGCACCCATAAGCCAACAAAACTTTAATGTAAAGCTGGTACAAAAGATCTTTATCAAAATGATAAGAAAAAATGACTGGATTGTATCATTTACGGGTTTTGCATTGTGCATATTTTTACTTTAAATAGTTTTTTTAATTTTTTTTTAAGTACTTCTAGAAGCAATTCCAAACACAAAAACAAACTATATTATAAAGTACAACACAAAAATAGACAAGTTAGAAATCATTAAACCCTTTTGAACTACATGAAAGAGATAACAAAACATTTGGTGTCTTAACTTATTCAATTTTCATAATTAGATGTTTTAGTTTTTAGTTTTTATCAATAAAGTTTTTAATTTATTCATAAAAGCACAATCAAATATTTTTATAGATACCATGTACTCAAATTGATAACTAATTCCATAATCATGTGAAACCCATGATCATATTATTGTCCAAACCTTAAAAGTTCATGTTCTTCCTCACTTCACCCCTTCCAAAACCTATGACATGAAAGTCTCAAGTTCTTAGGCATGTGGTGGTTTTGATCCAGTCATGATTAATGAAAATACCAACAACATTAAAAAAAAAATATATAAAAGATACTTGATTGTGTACTTATAATTTGTTTTTGCATTTTAAAAGTGCTTTTAAAAAAATTTTAAATTTTTTTATTTTTTTTTATTTAAAATTAATATGTTTTTAGTGTTTTCAAATTATTTTAATATGCTAATATCAAAAATAATTTTTAAAAAATAAAAAAATCATTGACATGTATTTTGACACGAAAAGTTATTTGAAAAACAACTACAAGTACATTATCAAACAAGCTCTCGTTGATAAAAAGTAAAAACAAGATACCAAATCATGAAAATCTAATAAATTCAAACACCAAACCCATCGTTAATGTTGAGAAAAATGTTTTTTTTTTTACATGGCCTTGCTGTTAGCAATTTAAAGGTTATACCTATATTGATATGCATTTGATGAATTAATTTTTTTGTTAATATTTTTATTTATAAAAGATATTCTTAAATAAAATGAGTCTGGCAAACATATTAGACCTAAATTATTTATAACTGGCAGTCAATCAAGTCTAAGATAATGTGGGTTTGACAAACATGTCAGATCTAAAGAACTTAAACTTAGCAGTCAGTCATGTCTAAGAAAATATGGGTATGACAAACATGTCTAAAAGAACTTTGATTTAGCAGTCACCAAATCCAAAGTAAGGTGGGTCTAACGTATTTGGTAACATGAGTCTAACAAATATATCAGATTCAAAAAACTTGAACTTGATAGATAGTCAATCTCAAAGAAAACATAGGTCTAGTAAATATGTCAAGCCTAAAGAACTCGAATTTGATAGTTACACTACAAAAAAAGAAAGCTTATTAGCAACTAACTAGTCCATTGTAGATAATATTAAAATCTGTTGCTGATAAAACTCAACAACGAAATTAGCAACAAATAATTTTAGATGCAAATAACAAATGCTAATTGTTTAGTAACAAATCATCCATTGTTGAAATTTGGTTGTTGATTATATAAATCAGCAGCGGATATTCCATTGCTGATCAACAACAAATATTACGTTACTGATCTGTTGCAAATCAGCAATGGAAACTTTGTTTCTAATCCATTGCTGATTTTTCAGAATTTTTTAAATTATTTTTTCTCATTTATTGAATTTTTTTAATTATTTATGGATATTTAAAAATTTATAAATAAATATATAAAGAACATAAATTAATACTAGAATTTATTTTATAAAAAATAATAACGTAAATAAAAATAAATTTCATAATCTCGTCAAACTTACATCAAAATAGATAAGTCATAATTTAATAAATATATTCTATTATAAAGGTGGTAATCGGGGTGGTGGTGGAAACAAACCAAAATAATGCTGACCATCATAAAGTGGGATCGGTATATGATGGTCGAGGTCTAGTTGATATATCGAATTAAACAGGAGATACATAGGTGTCATCATCTATGAAGCTACATATGACGGCATAGATGAAGCCATAGGTGCTGACATACCTTGATCCACATTTAATGCCCAAGCTTGGTATCCTATGTTACTAAGAAATTTTTTGATTGAGGTCATCTCCTCTTGTAATGATAAAATATGACAATCTCTTTCTTTTATTTGCTCTTTCAATACCTGAATTGATGAGCTAGGAGGTATTGACTCATCGTATAGGATTATGATAAAGCACTCGTACTAACCATGGATTTTGACTTATTAGGTGCACCATATATTATACCCTTTGTAACTCCCCTTATAGCCACACACCAAGCTACTCTATCAAATAAAGAATGATTTTCCCGATCAGCTCCATATCTTGAAATCATCTCTTTTTTGTAATTCTCCTACAATACAATTAAATATAATAATAAATTTATTTAAATTTTAAATAATATTAAACTACATTAAAAAAATACTTACAACAACTTTTTAAAACTTGTATTTATGAATGTTTCAGGCTGCTTGGCATTCTGATACAACATCGAAAACACATCATCCTACAGAGGTTAACTATTAATTTATATGTGTGTATGATTTTGGAGTTTCATACATACCTAGTTGTTAACTTCTCATCTCATACACCACTTCCATATAGATTTTATACAAGAGGCTTATCCAAGAAGTTGTGTATGTGATTGCTTGCTTCTAGAAAATAAGGTTCCATTTATAGTGTAAAATAATGAGAGTTATTAGCAATATACTGTGACTATATACTGGCAGTGAAATATACTAGATTTTATTGACTAACATTATTGTATGAAGAAATAATAAAACATGTCAAATTGTTGTAATGAATCTTTCAATGCCATTCAAATTATTCCTACGCAATACACATTAATCCTACCAGCTCATGAACTACAGAGAACTAATACAAAGGTTATTTTATATATATAACGGCTGTAATTTGTTAATACATGGAAGATTACTATCAAAGTTAACTATGATTTGATGATGGATAAGTTAACGGCTAGTTCAATCAAGTTATTTTAGGTCAACTGTCAATTTTCTTACAAGACATAATGTTTATATGCCCTAGGATCAGGAAATGACTCTGGGTAGGAAGTCAGTGCTCATTTCAATCAAAAGGAGTAAGCACTAGCTTCGAAGACTCCCTAGCGGAGGCTAGCCTCACACATAAATGCAAGAAGACATCAAACAACTAAGGAAAGTTGTGATTATGGTGTGGATTTGTGGTATTATACAGTTAGTACAGTTGGGATCATTTTTTTTCTTTTTTTATATATTAATTAATTTTTTCTAATAAGATTGTGATTATAGTTGTTGTATACATATTACAAATCAATGAAACAAATATTTCAGAATTAAAAAATATATATTTGTAATTGAAATGACTAAATTTAATAATAATGTTGTTACATATAGAATATAACATAAGCAAATGTAATTGAAAAAAATAATAAAAAATCAATAAGAGAATGTAATTGACTTTAAGTAGAAGTAAAAATAGAAAAGGGTTATTATTATTATCATTAGATATATCTAGATCTTTTGTAATTCTAAAATTAATAAAAAGTTTTAAGTTGTATTGACAAACCTGAAGCAGTAATATGCACAGCCTAAAAACTTGGCAACTCCAGATACAAATGAGTAATGTGATGTGATGATGGGTTCAATAATCTAAAATTGAAAAAAAAATGAGTAAGAATAATAGTGTTAAGAAATATGTTATATAATCCTTTTCTTTCCTTGAAATGAAGTTTTGAAGCCTACATTTAAATAGATAAATAAAAATCTGGTCATTTTAGGTGTCATATAATAGGTTATTCTATATACTGAAAAACAAATTGAAAATTTCATTAAAAACCAGTTAAAAATATGTTAACTTTATTGGAAGTACCAAATACAGATCTAGAAATTTAACACTAAAAAAGACGAAAATCACTCAAAGGATTACTAAAATAAAGCAATCATAAATGCAGAAGTTTCTTTAAATTTCTTTATCATTTGAACCTTTTTGTGTTCGAAGAAATACAAATATTTATTATCAATCCCTACTTTACCATAATGGGTTGGTAGCCAACGATTTTAACAATGTCTGTAACCCTACATTTATCTTCATTGCAAGTAACTATACAATTGAATTCCTAATTTCCTTTACTTTCTGCAACATTCTTCATGTTCTGTTTAACATAAAACTCAACCCCTCTCTCTTTGTATATTTTTTTTTTCATACCTCACCTAGATAATAAATTTAAAGTGAAATACATTACATTCATAATTAAAAATATTAACATGTGATGATAGTCATATTTAATAAATCATTTGCAAAAAAATTAACAAAGTTATTATTCTCATCAATAAAATTAGTTAATAAAATAAAATACATTATCT